CATACCTTGCTGCATATGGCAAATTTACCTCTTGGTATAGGGAATTTACACACAGTTAAAGAATTCCAGCCATAAAAGGCTATGAAGCCATTTCCGGATTGGGAAAAAATCCTCTGGTTACTTAATCTGGCCCATGCAGATTCGAAACAGTGCGGTTGCAACAAGTTGAAAAAAAAGAGATGCAATATAATCTTAAAGCGTCACGCGCAATTCGCACTAAACGCGCTGCCATTCATCGTTTCGCCCACTGCTTGCCCACGCTTTTCAAAATCACGGTTATACGCACAAGACTGGTGGTCTATGTGCTTTTATTTCTATGGGACGGATAGTTTTGGGGGCAATAATTTCCATTTTAGTGCCCCCTGAAACTAGCCTTTTCTCGAGGCGCACGGGGCTACGACGCAAACACGACGCAAACCCAGGCTGCATACGTATGTTTCAGAGGGAAATTATAAAGTGCGCATGTCCCATATTTAGGATCATTTGCATACGTAATGAGGGCCATGAGAACTCGCGCCGGGCGAGCAGCTGCTTCATTTCATAAAATTTACGTCCCATTTTTTGAATAAAATGCCTAAGGAATTTTTATAGAGTTCCTAAGGGGACATGCGTTGAAAACAAACTCGGAATACAAAAATAATTTCAGTTTGTGTTTCGTGCGCACGAAATTATTTCGTGCATGCACTCGAAATACTTTCTTGCGCTCGTAATACATTAGGGGCTCCGTACCTTTTCCTAACGTGTTTTGTAAAAAATAAAATTGAGAAATAGTACCAGAGTAGTCAAAACTAGTGATTTTTGTGAACATCTCTCTTTTTAAGCGGTAGTTTGTTTACGTTTTGATGCGGTTTTTGAAGGCTCGAAACAAAGAATTCGAAGTTTCCTCAAGTTTTCAAAAGTGGGCTGTGGTGGAGAAAGGAGTGACGGTTTCAGATTTGCTGACGGTTTTGCGCAGGATATTTTTCTCTTCCCGACCGGGTGCGTTTGCATATCGACCTAACTCGGCACCGATTCCGTTTATCCCAAATAATCTTACAGACTTGCGAGCGTAAGAATTGAGTGACCTGGGAACGAAAGGCGAACACAAAAGTACAGTGAGTCAAATTCAAGTTTATTATTGAAACCGAGGTCTATCTGCCATTGTAACATTGTCAGGAAATTTACAAATTCATGGTATATATCCCCGCCAGTTTTACATGTACCATGCACGAACCAAATGAACATGTACACCGTCTCCGACACATAATTTGCACGTATACATGTTTGTTGGTGAGCGTGTAACGCGCCATAGTGTACCGTGCACGGCACATGGCTGGATTTCATTTTCATTTTATTATTTCGCAGGTCAATACAAAATTACAATAACATGACAAAAAAACGCCCCTGCCGGATTGCTAATAAGTGAACCTAATAACTATCTGGTAGCTCTCGGCTTTGTGCACGCAAAACATGTAGATCACGCTGCACATAAGTGTCTAAAATCAAAACGCACCATTTATCGCCATTATAAATGCACGCTTATGCGATGATTAAAAAAACAAAGCCCTCGTTTGTTGCACTCGGAGCGGACGGGGTATTGTGATTTGCCAAATGCATGAGCCCGTCAAGCTGAAGGACGTGCCAGCGAGCGCTGAGCATTGATCTCCGTTAGAAACACTTGATGGTGGAAATGAATGGTGCGGAGGCACCGCAGTTATAGCCTTAACCAAGGCGTTGGGTGATGACTCTGACAACCCCGGCTGTCAGGCCTGCTCTTACTTGCGTGACAGATCCACTGCATGTGTGTTGCGCAATACCCTTCAATGCAGCAGGTTTCCTTTTAACACGTATGGTGCATTGCACTCGGGCCGTCATGCTTTGTGAGTGACAGGGAAAGCTGTTACGCCGCTCTCAGCTTGCTCACGTGCGTGCCTCGTCCGTTAACCTTTTCGACTCGACATCATGATACGGACAGCTGACGCGTGACGCACGTACATGTACGTACGTGGGGTTATGTACACGCACACGTGTCTGCGGTAGTTCGGTTTGTAAGTCGGTGTACAGGGATCCGTTGCGGTTCGCCGTTGTACCGTACTAGGGAGGCAGCTCGTTTGCTGTGTTTGCGTGCGTATGGCCTGGATCTCTCCTGGGGTCGAACGGTCGCGTATACCGGCTTGGACAAGGCTACCGCAGTTACAGCGTCTAATCGGATTAGTCTGTAGTCAGGGTCACGTTATCGAGCAGGCACAGCAGGTGCGTACAGGGCCTACGAAAAATTTAAGGGCCTATGCCATCAGTAAAATACCACGGGTGCTATGAAAACACAGTTGTTTGGTTTTGTGTATCTCTGTCAAGTTTCGATTGAAAGAGTGCTTCCAACTAGCTA